AATAATTTATTAAATATGTCAAAAAGATAAATTAGATAAAAATAAAAAAAAAGTAGTAAGACAAAATCAAATTTACACAATTTTCCCATACATTTATGAATTCTAACATAATTTTAGTTTTTGACCCTTAAACTTCACTGACTAAAGTGCACAATGCCGGTGGCCCCACCATTATCACCACTGTTAATATTTTATCTTCTACGCTTGGCTTCCACGCACGTAAGGACATGAGTTTCTACACACGCGCCAACAATTGTGCGTGTACATATTCCTATGACTTTTTTTCTGGTTTTACCCTAACAAAAGTTCAAAACAAATTATATCACTGTAATCTACATGATTATGTTATGAAACTCACCTAATTTCACGGCATGCATACTTTTTAGGGATTTTAATATCTTCTAATGGATGTGAAAGTATGCAATACACCAATTTTTTCTTTAAAACTTTTTTAAAAATTTAGAACTTCTTCAACTAAAAAAAAAAAATATACGTCTTTCATTGTACAAACTCTAGTGAAGTGATATTATAAGTTTAATGGTATCCCGAAACACATGAGTTTACATAGTTGTGTTTGATGTAGGTTCTTATGATGTTTAGCAACTGAAATAGTTAGGACTTAGAGCAGGTTTACTCATGATATTTTGTGGATTTCAACCCATGAAACAATATTAAAAATAATATTTTGGGTTGGATTTTGAATGAAACGGATCAGTGCAATGAGTCTGGTGGATCGGTTCATCTTGGACACATGTCACGTTCTTAGGTTTCGTTTTTTCTTTCTCAGTTTTTTTTTCCGATCTGGAAGTGAAGAAAAAATCTTTTGAATTAGATCGTTGATCTGAAAATTATGTATACAGTGGTGTCTCTTTCCCTTTTTTTGGGTGATTTTTGTTTTTTTGAGTGATCTCAATGCCATATCATATGAAAATCCAACCGATCGATTCCGATGTATCGGACGATCTACCTTTCCCGGAGACGATGAAGCAAATGTCAAAATCGAAGCTGAAGCCGAGCGTCAGTTCACTATGAAGAGCGCAACTGAGAAATCTGCCATCGACGATGTGGATGCGCCGCTTTCAAGAGGTAACTCGAGAAATTTCGAGCCGAGCTCGGTTTGTTTGGTGAAGATGGTTCCAGATCTGGATGTATCTAAATTTCATTGAGGATAACAACAACGGGAAGAAACAGCAGTGTGGTCGTGGCCGCTGCAACTGCTTTACCGGGAGTGGCACTGATAGCTCCAATGATGAATGTGAGTTGTCTGATGGTCGAAAATGTTCTTCCGGTGAAACTTGTTTTTTTTTTTTTATCACTGATAATGAATAAAAAAAATTATTTTTTTATTCTAGTGATACTCGTTAAATTTCACCATTAAACATACAAATTTTACAAAAATCTTAATAAATCTCATAGATTAAACGATTAATTAAATTAATACTAAAAAATGTTAATTATACTCATTGAATTTATGAATAAACACCAACACAATAGTTTTTCGGAAATTTCTTTCTCAATGTAGAGGACGTTGAATCCATAGGGAAAGTGGAAAGTGGAAAGTGGAAAGCTACATGTTACCTAATTAATTAAGTATGTGGGAACCACCAGAACGTGGCCCATGCATCTCCTTTAGCCAGCATTTATCTCTTCTTTTCCCCAAATCTCCTCACTTTATATTCTATTGTTTCGTACTAAATTATTTTTCTTATGTGATCAAAGTGATCATAACCATACCATCTATGTAAACAATTTTCGATAGATCATAGATGATATAACTATATCGTTGAATGTTCAGTTATATATAAATATTTTAAAGCCTATATATTAGTACATTTTAAGGTGGTTTCTTATAATGTTAAGCAAATGAAATATTTAGGACCAACACAATAGTTTATCAGAATTTTCTTTCCCAAAGTAATGAACGTTGAATCGACAGAGACAGTGGGAAGCTACATGTTACCTAATTACAATTTGGAAGAGTTGAGTACTCGTGTTATTATCAGAAACCACCAAAACGTGGTCCATGCATCTCCTTTGGCCACCCTTTATCTTTTCTTTTTCCCACATATCCTCACTTTATATTCTATTATTTCGTACTAAATTCTTATTCTTATTTTGTAATTTGGTCTATTTTCAAAACCGATCAAATCAACTACTGTATGTAAATCATTTTCCATAACTGATATAACTACATTGTTAATGCTCACTAGATGCCTGACGCAGATATTTTTAACAATATATATTCGCTTGTCTTTATTCTATTAATTTCATAATTTGTGTATGTGATGAAGTTTTTAATGGTTACTTATTTAGATCTGATACATGTTATTTGATTAATATCAAATTAACCTCAAATATCAGTAACTAAAATATTTGAATGACTAATATATATAACCGTACGTATTTGTAATTTTAATCCCATGGAGTGTAGTACTATCAATCATACTTGGGAATTTGAATTCCAAAACTTAATTCATGCTTGGGAATCGAGGAACAATAATTTATGAATTAAAGATATGGGAACCGGACTAATCATAGTAGAAACATGATTAATTACTTCGTAAAAGTGTGAACCTTTATACATGAGGTTGAGAATGATATACAATTTTATCATATAAGTTGTGTCTTCAAATATTAAGGCAAGTTAAATAAGTAGCTAGCTCAAAAAAAAACTGCCGTTTATCAGAATTGAAAACATCCGTACTGTTTCTTCAATAGTAAATGGTTTTTGAGCTTGTTAATATATTAGGCTTGGGTTTTGAATTAGAACAAATCACCAACGTGTTTACTTTAGTCATCATGACTGGAAGAGACTATCCAAAAAGCTTTCCAGTAACTTTCTTAGCCATTTTGTTTTTACGGATACAATTACACCATGTTCTAGAAGAGATAGCTCTATTAAAAGTGTCCCAAAAGAATTTATATCAAAATCTTTAGCCTTCGTTTTTACTAGATAACTCATCTGATAAACACATCATGATCATTGTTAATGGGAATCTCACCAAGCTATATAATAAGCTCATGGTTAAAGTTTTTATTCTTCTTACTACTTACTTTCAACATGTTCCATTTTCAGAATTGTTAAACAACTCCAAATCACTCAACAATCTCGATCTTCCTTATATTACGAAAAGATGAATTGCACACACAAACGAATTCGAGTGAACAATAACTTTTTAATCCAATTTTTCCAAAATTAGTAGAAATTTACCTCCTCTTCAGGATCCTCTTCTTCCTCGAAGAAACTCAGTTGGTCATACAATAATTGATATATGCATCGTCAGTGGTGAACAAGCTATGAATTTTTTTCTGTTCTCTTTTGTTAATCCAAAATACTGCCATATTAAAGTTGARCAACTTATAACTACAATTATTTAACAAAAAAAAAGCTTATAACTACAAATATTCTAAAATAAAACAAAAGCAAAAGTCGAGACACATGCACATGACTGTTAGACCATCTCCAACATATTCCTCCGTGACTCCATTTTGGAGTAGAGTATTTCTCCAACACATTTTGGAGTGGGGTTGGAGACAGAAGCAACCATAGGCTGAATACTAATCCATAATCTCACCAACGCAAAAGGATGTGAGGGTAGAGATGACGTTGAGATGATTTAAGAGAGCTTACCACAATGGCGACAATCACCGACCTTTCAAACTATGATCTGACGTTCTCGATTGCTTTAACCAAATCAAACCTTTTTGCCATGGTCGAATACCACGTGATTACCGTCAAGTTAGTCGGTTTTTAATTAATGGACTCGTTCATGTTGGCACTGGCGTTTGCCATGCAGACGATTTTGTACATCTCACCGTAGATGATACGGTGTAAAAGAACGGCTCTATGACCAACTCCCTTAAAGAGGAAAGCTAATGAGATGCTTGACCGTTGTTTATAGGATTGAGTTTAATCCACGTCTTCAACATGCTGAAGTGTCAAGTATTTTTATGTTTTGATTAGTCTTTTCGTAGTCTGATTTTTTATTAGGTGTCCTTTTCTCCAAACATGAATATACTTAGACCATGTCCATTGGTTAGACCCTCCTCGAAGTTCTTAACAAAATTTTAATATTAAATTTAACATTAGTTTAAGTTAAGAACCCCATTTTCAATTTTGTAAGTTTTTACCCTCCATTGGTTAGAACTCATATTATCACTACAGATTTTAGAAGAAAAAAAGAAGATAGTGTTTTGCTATGATCTTCAATATGCCAAAGTGTTAACAGGTATAACAAAAGCATCCAATCCCCAAGATAACATCTCATATTCAGCATCAAGACCAGAGAAGAAGAAGACCATCAAACCAAAATGTAAGAAAAGGTATTATTCACCTGAGCTGCTTTTGCGGCTTCTCTTTCTTCATTGGTTGCAGCCATTAGTTCATCAAACTTCGCAGACTTCACAAGCGTAATTTCTATCTGCAACACCGAAAAACCCAAACGTTAAATCAAGAAAGCCGTAGGTGAATATCATAATTGATTGGAATTGGTATGAAGAATCGAAAGTGGTTTGCTCATAAAAACTACATGCTTTCAATTTTGTTAATGGTTCAGTAGGAGTAAACTATCAACCTAATCTACTTGATCAAGTGTTTTGTCGAACAAGATCAATCTAAGAAGAAAGTATTCTCGAATTAAGCCATATTCAAATCTCTATCTACTTAACCAATATGATTCATCAAAAACTCTAGATATTGAGTAATATCAATAACCAAATCGTAAGAGTAAAGGATTCAAAGACATTGTTTTCAAAAGTGTTTCAAGAAAATAAACAGATCAAATCAAGTTCTTATCAACCTAAATTGCTTAGGTTGCTTAGGTGCTAAAACGAAGCCCAAATAATTGCTTAGCGTTTGAAACAGGTTCATTTAATAATTGGCCCAAGGCCCAAATGTGAAATCAGAGTGTGGATGATATAAATTCGTTGATGGCAAATCCCTAAATACCTAAAATCCCTAAAACCAAAGAAAATCAGAGTCGTCTCTTCTCAATCGCTCAATGGAAAGGAATTATAGAAGTTTTTTGCCTATTAGCAATGTGTCACAGTACGATTACAGTAGCGATGACGAGTTCAGGAGCAGAGTGGTAATCGTCTTTTTTATTTCTCTATTAATCTTAAAATTTTAGAAGAATTTCTGATTAGATCTTTTCTATTTAGTCTCTGGAATTGTGCCTGCCTGAAAATCGTGATGCTGCCATGAAATTACTCGCTGATGACGACCGAAGCAGGTAATAATTGGAGTTTATGTTTGGAGATTTTTGTTCTCGTGTTGATCAAATTATGATTATTGGAGTTTATGTTTGGAGATTTTTGTTCTCGTGTTGATCAAATTATGATTGCAGTTGCTTTAGGGTTTCCGTTAAGGGATACGACACTTCGCTTGCTGATGATGAAATCAAGCTTGCGTTGTTGAAACATTTCTCTGTGTTATGTGGAGGAGTCTTTGACGTTGTGGTTCCTGTAACAAATCTTGTCGACAGGTTTGTTGTGGTTGTGAATATATTTATTCAAGTGTAATGCTCTAAGCTAATAACATTTTGTCTGTTTGCTTGACAGATGTGCTTTCGTGTATCTTCTGACAGAAGACGCAGAAAAGCGTGCGTTGGCACTTGATGGAAGTGATGTGGGAGGATGGAAAGCAATTGTTCGGTCTTCACAGAGACAAAGAGAGTGTTTGCTTGATCCTCAACAAGCTGATATTCTGAGAGCCGTTTACTATCACAAACAATGGTAAATTATCATTTTGCATCTGTTTAATTAATTGCATTTGTTGTTAGTATAGACGATGAAGATTGTTTTTTTTTTGCAGTAGCACTGCCATTTGGGTTGAGGGATATGACATTTGCCTTCCTGAGGATGAAGTGAAGAATGCATTGATTAAACATTTCTGTTCATGTGGAGTGATCACAGATTTGTCTATTTGCCGAGACCCGCTGACTAAAACTCTCACTAGCATGGCTTTTTTGTATTTTTACGGACAAGAGGAAGTAGAGAAAGCATTGGCACTTAACGGAAGCGACGTGGGAGGATGGACTGTTGTTGTTAAGCCTATACCCGGTTTGGAAAGAGGCCCTGATCCCTGCAATCTTCTTCATATCTAAACTGTCCCAGGTGTTTTTATTTTGGTTGCTTTTTCAAACAAGACTAAGTCTTAAGAAGACAAAGCTCTTTGGTGTTTCAAAATCTCTCTCTTAAGAAATACAATGCAACCTTTTTTTTATTATCTATGACATTATCTGTGATAAAAGGAAAATCAGACTTATAGATATGGTTTTCTGAGATGCGTTCCTGATGATCCTTGTTTGGGCATATAATCATTCATTACAAACTTATAAAAATTATAATACACATTATCCTAATATGGGCATATATATGGACATATCGTCCAAAACTCAATTGAAAATACAATATAATGTGAGGCTTTTTCCAAAAACATTTATATAATAATGTGATTATATAACATTGATAAATAAATTAGTTTTGCTAAATTGATAAAGTAGTCTAAAGCTAATTATTTGTACTAAAGAGAAATCAACCCCTCAATGGTTTTTTCCCAATAACTCAGGTTAATTTGCAACCTGCTAGTATCTCAACAATCATAGTTAAACGAGTTTTGTAGTAAATTCCTCTTAGTTGTGGTGTTTTGTTTAACAAGATTTCCATTGTTAATCGTTCACTTAAACTTCTTGATAACGGATATATGCTTTGGTTTAAGTGATAATTTTTTCTGTCACTACAAAATGTTTTTGTCTTGTAATATACTTTCCTATAAAAATAAGGTTTATAAATTTGAGAAAATGCATTTTGTTTATATACGACTGATTGCACATTGTCTCAAGATCGATAAAACCATTACAAGCAAAGTGACAAATATTAAAAGATCATTCGAAACTACAATACATAGAAATGAGCAACAATTACATAAGAAGAGCCGGAGCACGGGCCTTGGCTCATGTGGCTATGAAGAAAGAAAGTTTCAAGCTGTTGACGTTGACGGGAATATCATATCAGAGGAAGGCATTGAGGAAGTGAAAAAAGATATTCAAGAAATCCCCAGCGTTACTTGGAGCGTTACTTCTGAGTCAACGCAAATACGTGAATGCAGCTTGAGAAGTTGCCACATTCTCTTGCAATGGCTACAACCACCATGGACCGATCTTAATTTACATACGCCTTGTGTTAATCTAAATTCGTTTTTGTGTTTTCAAATAGGCATTTAGAGAAGCAGAATGATATACTCAAAAAAACTCATAAGACCATGTCACAAGAACTTCAAACACTCTTGGTATTAGTTATGATTAGTGAAATAGTCTTTTTTTGTAATGCAATTAAAGACTAGATATCTCGCTAAATCGTTCAACTTATCATTATTCTCCGGTTGAAGAACAGATAATGATGGATAAATTATGTGAGGTAATGGTTATTCATCGAAATAAGAAGGTAAGTTCTCTTCTTAAAGGTTCTATTTGAATTATCGATAAACACAGACTTTCACGGATTTGAAAGATCACTACTTTACTAAGCGAGGTTGGTTTTGCATAAAATGGAGAAAACTTGTAATGTTTTGGAAGCAAAAGAAACATGTGAAGCTTCCTCTATACCAACTCTTACTACTAGTGGTGATGAAGAACATTGAACAACTCGCTTTCTATATAGACCAGGCCAATTTCGATACTGAATTTTGAATTTTCGGAACGCTCTTTTACAAAGAATTCTGTAACCTATGTACATGTATAAATATATATCTGAAATTTCTATAACCTATGAATGAAATAATGTCACAAAGTAACATCAATCGCCTGCAAAAAGAATTTAGATCCTCCAATTCTCTTAGTATTCAACACATTCTTCACCAAAAGTTTCCATCTTTTCTCATCTTTCCTGCTTTGTTTCTTCACTCTCTCCTTGAGATTACTACAAAGAGGGACTTTACATTGTTCCGAGTCAACACAAATACGCGAATGAAGCTCGAGAAGTTGCCACATTCTCTTGCAATGGCTACAACCACCGGGGATCGATCTTAGTTTACATACCGCCAAATGTTTTAAGAGCTTCTCTAAGCCGTTACATGCTTGAAACCCGCACGAGACATGGGAGGTTTCGATCTTTGTTGGACCGATTTCTCTGCATCCATCTCTACATATATGAACAAAAGCTTCCATTGCTTCATACAACTGAGAATATATCTGCATCTCTTTCTGTTTCCTGTTTCTTTGCTTCAAAATCTGCAACAATTCAAAACAAAACACCATCAGAAAAAACTGTGAAAGAACATTTGTATTAGTACAAAGGTTCAAGATTTGGTTTCTATTACGTTAAGCTCGTAAGCGACTGATCGTAAAAGCTCTTTCTTGAGTCCGGGATGGCTTTGTTTCATCGCTTCCCATCCTTCGGAAGTAGAAACTTCTTCGAAGCTCTTTAGAATCATTCTATGACATATAAGACCGAGACGAGGAGCATCACATAGAAGAGCTAACTGAAACACATCAATCACATTCTCTTTGTTGAGCAAAAAGTTTTCGAATTGCGATTCGCACAATCGTTTCAAATGCGGAACCACATAGACATGAGATAACACAAGTAGATGCATTCCGAAATCTTCCATATCTTGTTTCTCATAGCT